GATAGCAGTTACTACCCAACGTTTATTTTTTACGTTGCCACTAAAAGTTATTCCCCAACGTTTATTTTTTACGTTGCCTGATAACAGTTACTGCCCAACGTTTTTTTTTACGTTGCCTGATAACTATTATGCAGGAGATATATTTTTTCCGTTGCCAATTTTCGTTCAATTTTCAATAGTGGAATGACAAATTAAAGGGGTTGCCAACTGTTAAAAATCTAGCTTTAAATTATTTTATAAGTTAAATGAATTATTTCATCATGGTTATAATCCGAAATTGTTTTGACAGGGGTTTTAGAAATTTCCTGAAGGAGGGTTGCCTAGTTACATTGAAAAGTTACATTGAAAGTTAATTTCGGAATTAGGAAATGGAAACATGTCTCACAATGGTTGTCAAATGAAAGGTATGTATGAAGGTTGTAGGTTTACAATTTTTGAAAGAGGGTTACCACCTGTTTGAAAAGCCAAATTTAGTTAATTCTTATATATATGTCAGGGATGACTCGATTTAGGCTTTTAGTTTAATGAATGTCAAATAGTTTATTAATATAATTAATATAAATGAATAGTAAACGAACAAAGTTTAATTTAATGTAAATAGGTGAATGCTGATATGCGCTCGTTGTGATGCGCTGTTCACCGACTCGCACCGACACGTCCGCTCTCAACGAATGACCACGACTCACTACCCTGTACTTGACAGCTCGGCCTCTCCTGGCATTTCGTCCGACCCGGACGACACCTGGCTGTCTTCATCGCTGATGTCGAGTTCTGGACCAAGAACACGCCATGGCTTCATGTGATCGCTGCTTACTACGTTGCAATATCTTCGCTGTGTTACCGTATTGTCTGGCAAGTCCTCCACCACATAGCGATCGTAGTTCAAGACCCTTGTTATGACATACGGGCCCTTGAATGCTAGATCCAGCTTGTGCGACTCACCCGTTGCTGTGGGCACGTAGTCTACGAATACCAAATCGCCCACTTCGTAGTTGCGCGGCTTAGAATGCTTCTCGTCGTAACGCTTCTTCCAGCGCTTCCGCTCCTCGCTTATATTTACCGCTGCCGCTTGCCTCTTCTCATCTACGTTGATTTCATTTGGCTCGCTGCTATCGTGTATCGCCTTTAGCTTTAAAGAGACAACACTCTTCGCACGCATTAATATAAGTTTTTACATACCTTCGAACCCGCGGAAACCAGAAATGTTTCCCGATTCGCTCAACTGTCTTCTCGACTGCAAAATGCCCAACGTCATCATGGCACGCTTTGGTAACGCGCCACCTCAGCGCCTGTGGAATCATCAGCTTCAATTTGTTTTTGACCTTCCGGTATATGCGCCCATCTTCTAGTTGGTAATCCACATGGATCTGCTTCTCATCATCGCCCTCCGGTGGACGACCACTTTCCAGTACCTCAGCTATCTTGCTCACCTTTTCGTCTTGGATCTGCATGGCATATATCCAGTCAGTGTTTTCATCAGCTCGTTTAATTCTCATAACACTCTCTGCAACGGTGGCCATCTCATTTGCTGGTTCGACTGGCGCCCTGCTCAGCCCATCCACATGGGACATTTGAGCTCCCGCTCGATGTACACACTTGAAGTCGAATTCCTGGAGCTTAAGCCACCATCTGGCTATACGGGGCTGTAGAAGTGTCGTCACTTTGGTTGAGGCAACCGCGTTGCAATCGGTCACCACCAGAAACGGTCTGCCCAGCAGATAGACTCTGAACCGCTCTAGCGTTTCAACAATCGCTAAGACCTCCAGCTCATGACTTGCGTACTTGGACTCGGCTACGCTGCATTGACGGCTGAAATATTGCACTGGCTTCAGCCCTGCCTCCTCCAGTTGCAGTAGGACTTCTGATAAACCATGGCTGCTTGCATCAGTATGCACCTCATGCGTCTTCTCGGTATTAAACATCACTAGCACTGGATCTCCTGTCAGCGCTTTCTTTAATTCGTCAAACGCCTTTTGCTGCTCTTCATTTCATACGGATGATTCGTCCTTCTTGAGTAAATTGGTCAACGGTTTCGATACCTTATTATAACCTGGTACGAATCTTCGGAAAAATCCTGTTAATCCGAGAAACTGTCGCACCTGCGTCGCTGTAGTTGGAGTTGGGAACTCCTCCACACATCGAACCTTGTCTAGTCCTGGTCGTATGCCTTCGCCGCTTACGATGTGACCTAGGAAATTAACCTGTGCCGCCATGAATGTGCACTTCGATGGTCGTAATGTTAGACCCGCTTTCCTCACTGCTACCAAGAACTCTTCCTCGGACTAGATTAACCACCATTTCCTGGAACACCATGGGTGCGTTAACTAACCCAAATGGCATGACCTTAACTAACCCAAACGGCATGACCTTATGTTCGAAGAGACCATCCGGAGTTAAAAATGCTGTATACGGTCGACTGTCTTCTTTCACTGGTATCTGATAGTACCCGGATGTCATATCCAACGTTGTAAACCACTTGTTGCCCCCTAATCGTGCCAGCTGTTCCTCCACAATCGGCATAGGGAACTGCTTCTTAACGGTGACTGCGTTTAAGGCCCTAAAATCGACGCACATTCGATCTTCACCATTCGCCTTCTTCAACAAAACCACTGGAGCCGCATGCGGTGATGAGCTCGGTTGGATGATATCGTGCACTAACAGTTCCTTAATTATCGACGACAGTACCGGCCTTTGTGCCAACGGTACCTGATATCTCTTACCCACTATTGGCTCTTCTGTGGTAACCTTAATATCCATTTCGGTCGTGTTGCATCGGCCTAGACTCCTTAGGTCTTCGGAAAAACAATCGCTAAACTTGGCCAACAATTATTGCACTCCTTCATGATCGACGTCCTTACACAATCTGTTGACTGAAGAGTAGCTATCGGCCGCTTCAATCTTCATTACACCTGAGTCGATGACCACCCTTGCGTCACCCAACATGTCGCGACCCAAAAGTATTTGGTATGGCATGAAACATTCGGGTGCCACCAACAACGACACCTCAACTCGACGACCATCTACCGCTGCATTGGCCCTTACCTTTTCTCTGGTCTCGACCACTCCACCTCCGAAGCCCGTAAGTTTATGAACCTCGTGTTCACGCTGCACGTCACTCGGAATAACGTTTGTTGCCACCAGCGAATAGTCGCTACCGGTATCTACGAAGGCTGACATCACCTTTCCCCAAATCTCAACTGTCTTCATAAACGGTGGTGGTATTGTATACGGCTCAGCTAAACTTGCCAAGGTACTCTTACTTACGTTGCATGCCTTTGCCTCATGCCCCATTTTATTACACTTACTACATCTAGGTCTTCGTGATGGTTGGGGGCACTTCGCTGCTATATGCCCCACCTCGTTGCAGTTGAAACAGCGTACGGCCTTTCGCACTTGGGCCTCACCTGCTTCCGACTGTCTCTGTTGTTGTTGCTGTTGTGCGTTGAACGTTGGCTTAACCCCGACTGAGGTTGCTGATAAACCTTCGATATCTTTCAACAAATCGTTGCATGTCTTCAAATTGATGGCTAATAAAGTTCGTGACAAATTCACATCGTTGAGTCCACCAATGATGTACGAATTGATTGATGCTTGGTCCATATTTGCTCTGCGACCCATGTTGAGCATATTGTAGTAATAGTCTTTCATTGACTCGTTATGCTTCCTCTTGCGCCTGTCCATCTCACGGTGTACCTCAGCCACATTAACTTCGCTCGGAAAGTCGGCCTTCAATGCCCCAACAAATAGTGGCCAAGAACTGAAAGGGGGTTGAGCATCCGCCCAGTCAGCCGCTACAACCTTTAGCTTATGTTGTGAAGCGAATAGAATCTCGTCCTCGCTCCACAAATAAATTAATCGCAATTGTTCAATTTTGTTGATAAACTGCTCTGCTGTTAAATTTCCCTTTAGTGGATTGAATTCCGGCAAAATACCGACGATTTCCCTCATAGTATGCCTCGTTGCTACATTCGATGAAATTGTTGGTATTGCTCCTACTACCCCTTGACTCAATCGCCCGTTGACAGGAGTCGATGAGCCCATAGTAGCTCCTCTCCACTCTGCGTTCGATGGTTGCTGTGTTTCTGTAACTACGCTATATGTGACGGAACTATATTACATGTTGCTGCTGCTGCTCTAAATGATGTGTATTGTATGAAGCTGGCAGTATGTTGCATGTTATGTTGTACGAAGATTCGTTAAATGTTGCGCCAAAATTGGTTGGCATCCCGCTACATGTTGTACTGAAGTTCACTAGTGCTCCGCTACATGTTGCACCGGAGTTTGCTGGTGCTGCGACATATGTTGCGCCGGAGTTTGCTGGCGCTCCGCTAAATGTTGCGCCGGAGTTTGCTGGTGCTCCGCTAAATGTTGCGCCGGAGTTTGCTGGTACTACGTTGTATGGTGCTTGCTGCACTTGTACCACTTGCACAGCTGCTAACTGACTTACCGTCTGAGCCATATTAGCTACTACACCGCGTAATTCCTTGAATTGCTGTTGCCAGCCTGCATCAGTTGCCTGAAATTCTTCCATCTCTTCCTGGTCCACTTCATCTGCCTCGTAGACCTCCATCATCCTGGCAATTTTATGCGTCTTATTGCCTGAGACTGATAGCCCTTGCTGTTGTAACAGCCGGTTGAGCTGCTCCACCTTGAGTGTCGAAAATTTTATTTTACTAGAAATTACTGCGCCTTTATCCTGCTCCATTGCAGCTTCTTGCGTTAAATTATACGGAGTAAAATCAAAAAACCGTCCTCACTCGTCGTTTGCTAAAACGTCTTTTTTTTCTTAACTAGAAGTCAACTGACGTCTTTGCGTCGCTCAATTTCACCATCGGTTTTTCCCTGTTACCTTGTAGGAAAAATGTACGGAAGCTGTCGGTTGCGCTGCGATATGACTAAATCAGAACACAAAGCTTTCATATGTTTACGGCTGCCCTCAGATGCTGCAATGACTGTGCAACATAGCAGAAAAAAAACTTATCCGGAAAGCTGACGGTTGCGCTGCGATACAATTAAATCACAGCACAAAGCTTTAAAACTTATTCTCGCAGGGATGACTGCTGTGAGCATCTGTCGCTCCTATTCCTCTCTTGTGTTTTCGGCTGCTCTTAGCTGTTGCAATGTCTGTGCAACAACGTAGCAGAATAGCGAATATAATTTGGTGGTGGTTTTCGTTGGCAAATTCTCAGCTAACTAGAATTCGTTGAATTCATGTAAAATCACGATTACTGGTGTCGTTGCGACTGCGTATTCTTATTAACTCGCGCAACTGAGCTCTGCTACGGCGCGACAGAACTTTGTATTTGCGTTTGGTTGCTGCGGACTGAGTTCACTATCGATTCGTTGGATTTTAAAATTTTCGCAACTGAAATTTGCGGCTGCACGTTCGTTTTCGTGGAAGTTTGTTCGCGATCCACTTCTGATGCTGTCAGGGATGACTCGATTTAGGCTTTTAGTTTAATGAATGTCAAATAGTTTATTAATATAATTAATATAAATGAATAGTAAACGAACAAAGTTTAATTTAATGTAAATATGTGAATGCTGATATGTGCTCGTTGTGATGCGCTGTTCACCGACTCGCACCGACACGTCCGCTCTCAACGAATGACCACGACTCACTACCCTGTGAATGAATTAACTTTTTAACATAAACATGGCACAGTATGCCACGCAAGTTACAAAGGCTGAAAGTTTTCGGGATTTGCGGTGGGTTTTCTGTTTATAAGATATCCAATATTATAAGTGCATTAAAAATACAAGCGTCATCTACCAATTTAACTATTTCATACTTAATCAATATTTTACTGTTGCATTTAATTGGAGGTAACAAAATCAATAAAAAAAATATCGACAACAAAACCGATAAAAATATCGATAACAAAATCGATTATTATATCGATAAGTTCCGAATATATCGATATCAAAATCGACAACATAAATAAAAGTATCAATAACAAGATCAATAAAAAATATCGATGACAAAATCGATAAAAATATCGATAACAAAATCGAAAAAAATATCGATAACAAAATCATTAAAAATATCGATATTAAAATCGATAAAGATATCAGTTATAATATTGATAAGTTCCGACAATCCCGAAAATCTCCAAAAAATGTATCTATATATCTATATATATCTTTCTTCCTCTTTCAAGCTGTGACAGTCGGCATATATTCTGGCACACATATGCGCACAATAATTTTACCCTTACAGACGGCAGTAATGCGGATAAACGAGCTGCAAGGTCGTAAGTTCGAGTCCCACGGCCAGTCGAATTTTCATTTATTTCGTTTCCATTATTTTTTTTATAAGTTCTTTTTTTTCTCAGGGTTGCTTTCAGTTAGTTGTTGTTGACTTTTTAATAAAATTCAACTCTAAAAATTTAATTAGCTAATAGTAAAATAAAATTTTTTTTTATAAAATAAAGCAAATGAAAATAAAATAAAGTAAAATTAAATGTATAAATCAAATAAAATAAAAAGAAATGAAAAAATTGGAAAAAGGAACGATAATTTATAAGACGAACTTAGCACAGTGCGTAGGCAACTGGCTGAGTCAGTGGGATCGTGGGTTCGAATCCTACTGAAAGAAGTCTGATGAGGAAATGTGGTGATTTCCGAAATAGCTATCACTTCTACAATTTTTTCAAATTATTGTTGCTTTTCCACAATAAGTTTTTAATTAAAAACGGCCTCAATCTCAATAAAAATTGTTGAATAAAATAAAAAAATATAAAATAAATAATAAAAAAACAATGTTTTCCCAATCGCTCCAACCGAGGGTCGAACCTGGCAGCTACAGGCTTGCAACACCGAGTCTCACCACTCGACTACCGCGGACGCCAAACTCGCCTGCTTTGTTTGCTTACTTGTACAAAAGACAACAGCTGGCCATTTTTACCAGTGTCGTCTTCGAAAAGTCCCCGGATCCGAGTTAATACTCAAAAATTTGGTGCATTTGTTCGGCTGCTGATGCGCATTTTTAAGAGGAAAATGCAAGAGTTAAAGCAAATAATGGCTGTTTATGCAAATAACCGAGCCCGTTTGTCAACCGCATAAAGTGTTTAAATTTACCTTGATCTTCATTTTTACCTTTGCCTTTATCCTTTTCGTCACCTATGTACGTACTTTCATTCTTGTGGTGTACTGGTAAGCAGTGCGCGCTTCCACTCCGCAAGGCCTGGGTTCAAGCCCTGGTCAAAGCAACATCGCAAAAATATAGAAAAAAGGCTTTTTTCTTAACAGCGGTCGCCCGTCGGCAGGCAATGGCAAACCTCCGAGCGTATTTGTGCCATGAAAAACAGCTTCTCATAAAAATACAATCGCCGTTCGGAGTCAGCGTTAAACTGTAGGTCCCTCCGCTTTGTGTGACAACATCAAGGCGCACGCCACAAATCGGAGGAGAAGCTCGGCCAAACTCTAACATATGTGTAAGCGCCAATCTATTATTACTATTATTATTGGTTCTTATCCAAGTCTTATTTTTTAACCTTTCATTAGCACGTTTTTATTAAATTAATACCATGTGCATACATTTAAGAAGCACTTGTTTCCGTCCCAAAAATTTCCGTTTGCAATTTCCTTTGAATTTGCCAATTTACTCTCAACCAAACAACCGCCACTAAAGAAGTTTCACTTCAAAAAGGTGGCAAATCTCTTCAAACGCCTCAAAAATAGTGTTTCTTAAAACTCTTCACATTTTAAAATACCCTTTAACTAGTCTAGGTATATATATTTTGATTAAAATCGAGTTTTCAAACAGGTGGCAACCCTCTTTTAAACATTGTAAACCTACAAGCTTCTTATACATCTTTCATTTGACACGCATTGTGAGACATGTTTCCGTTTCCTAATTCCGCAAATTAAATTTCAATGTAACTTTTCAATGTAACTAGGCAACCCTCCTTCAGGCAGTTTCGAAAACCCCTGTCAAAACAATTTCGGTTTATACCCATGATGAAATAATTCATTTAACTTACAAAATAATTTAAAGCTAGAGTTTTAACAGGTAGCAACCTCTTTAATTCGACACCTCAATTTTGAAAATCAAACAAACGGTGCAGATCTGATGGCATTCAAATTATATATTTATATAGACTGGCGACGGAAAAAATATATCTCCTGCATAATAGTTATCAGGCAACGTAAAAAAACGTTGGGCAATAACTGTTATCAGGCAACGTAAAAAATAAACGTTGGGAAATAACCTTAATCGGCGACGGAAAAAAAAACGTTGGTCAATAACAGATATCAGGCAATGCAAAAGATAAACGTTGGGCAATAACTGTTGTTGGTAACGTAAAAAATAAATGTTGGGAAATAACTCTTATCGGCAACGGAACAAAAATTTCTCATCTAATAACTGTTATGAAACAACGTTTTCGTTAAATTTCAGAATTCGGGCAACGTTTTCAATTTGTAAATTCGAGATAACAGTTATTTTTGGTCCCTGATCAGAACAAATTACTGATTGACAAAGTATGTATTTTAGAGTAGTTCATAAAAACACTCTTTTTGGAAATTCATAAACGCTACATCAGAATATTGTTATTTGTGGTAAAAAAGAGACACGTATTTTTTTATTTTGAAAAAAAAGTTTTCTTAGAGGTCGCGCTGGTTGGTTTTTTATAAAAACGGTGATGTTCTCAATTTCTTTATTTTCTTGATATGTTAAAATACAGCTAAAAATGTGGTTTTCACATATAATTACTCGGGTATTATTGGGGAACTTTCCCTTAATTACACACCTGTCTTGGACAATTAGAATGGGCCTAGTTCCCGAAAATATGCTCTCGAAAAGACACTAGTAAAATTAGAACGTTGATACTGAACGATTTACGCATTGTCATGGATTGGAACTTGTTACCAGGGGGTTTCTGGGGTTGCTTATAAGGAATCTGAAGTCAGTTTTTCGAAATTCTAAATGGTGGATCCAAAATGGCGGCCATTTAAAAAAATGATTGGATTTATTCGAAA